ATAGATGGAGTCCCTGAGAAATACGGACCAGATGATTGCCAATTTCATTGGCAACATCTAGTGGGTTTGCTATATCAACACCGGCAACCCGCAGAACAGGAGCCGGGTCAGGAGAATATTTACCACTCAGTTTTCGTACTTTTTTCCAGACTGCACTCATAGAGGAAGCAGAGGTGATGGTGGAGACATAATCTCGCCAGCAAGTGCGTTTAGCGTCACGGATGACATGGCGAGCGATCGCACGCTTCTGTTTAAAATCAAGGAGTCGCTCTGTGTTTCTATTGTACCGGTACCTGCCCCATGCAGCGCGTTTCAAACGTACTGCACGAGCACAAGCAGGAGACCACCAAGGCACGCATTTCTGAGAATGCCTGCCCGAAGTTTGGGGTATAGAATGAGAAGCTGCGGTGAAAACGGAGGACAGGAAGAGGTGTAAAAGCTCATCGATGGAGGACGAAGAAGGAACCTCTTTAAAAACAGTTAGGTGTGAGTAAAGGTTCCAATTTGCCCGATTAAATTGCCAGCGTGGGGTGCGAAGGGGTGGCGAATATGAAGGGGAAGTAAGAATGATTGGGAAATGATCACTGTCATGTAAGCCCGGGAGAACAGACCAAGTGAAGTCTAATGCGGCGGAGGAAGAGCAGATTGAGAGATCGATGCAAGAGAGAGTATGAGTCCGAGGATCAAAATGGGTGTGAGGACCTGTATTTAAAACATGGAGGGGGTGGGTGGCAAGAAAAGCCTCTAACTGAATTCCACGGGAATCACAGTGAGACCCCCCCAGAGGAAATGGTGGGCATTAAAATCACCAAGTAACAGAATCGGTGGCGGTAATGACGAAACAAGGAAGGCAAAATCCGGAATAGATAATGCCCGAGAAGGAGAGAGATATAAAGAACAGAGCGTATACCACCTATGTAAGTGGATACGGGCTGCTGTGTAATGCAGCGAAGTATGAACAAATAGCTGATGGTAGGGAAATTTCAGTGCGGAGAAGAAGGGCACTTTCATTAAAGGTCCCATCAGAAAAGGATCTGAAGAATACAATAAATTATAGCCTGAGATGTGAGAAATAACAGCGAGTGTAATTTTGGTTCCTGTAAGCAAACACCAACAGGGGCAAACTGGGAGAGTAACATCTGAAGCTCACCCCGATTACCCCTGAGGCCGCGTATATTCCACTGTAAATAGGCCATGATTGGCAATGATAAAGTACTTGAAATCCGCAGGTAAGGGTTCCTACGGACTAGAAGGGTTAGAAAAGTCCACATGCGGAGGCAGTGGAAAATGTTCAAGCAGCGAAGGAACGGTGCGCTGTGTAGAAAGGAGTTGCGCAGATGGAGCAGAGGAGAGAGAAAGAGCGGAAGGTGGATCAGTGTCCATTGACGGTTTGGTCTCTGCAATATATTCAGAGATTGCTTCAAGTGTTTCGGAATTCAAGAGATGTCGTATGGGAGACAATATGGGAATGGTAGGGGGAGGATGAGTAAAGATTGGAACTGTATGGACTGTCCCAAAGGGTAGGGGGGGGCGAAAAGGGTGGAGGGAACTGGAAAAAGCGTGGCAGGGGACAGAGGAGGCAGGAACCTGGGAGGTGGCAGAAGAGGAAGAAACTTGGGAGGGAACAGGGGAGGAAGGTACATTATGAGGAGGAGGGTGAACCTCTGCACTTGTAACTGAGCCAGTGAGAGGGGAAGAACTAGGGACAGAGACAGGGAGGGTAAAATGAGGAGGTGGAAGATGGGTAGGAGGTGTTACCGGACCTTTTTTGACTTTTGAGAAGAGAGGGACGATTGGGAGGAGGTGTCGTCGAGGTCTCGTCGATACTGAGGCTTGTGAGAGAGAACTCGAAGAAGCGAGATTAGACTGAGGCGATGAAGTAGGGACGTCTGAGCCGAGGACAGCAAAAGGATTAGATACAGGAGTGATTATGGGAGAGGTAACCACAGAGGTGGGTGTAGAAGATGGGATACCAGAAGTGGGGGACGTTTTGAAACACGGGAATAAGAAACACGTGGGAGTCTCCCTTTGGAGGCGGAGATGAGAAACTGCCATGGCATAAGGGAGACCTTTTTGTCTCTTTGAGGTAACGGATTTCCCGCTCGTTTAAATAGACCTGACAACGGCGAGAGTACGAAGGGTGAGCCTCATGACAGTTAAGGCAAGAGGGAGATCGATTGCAAGACGTATTAGAATGGTCATCGGCCCACAGACTGGGCATTCGGCGATAGATCTGCAATATTTCGCTGGATGGCCAAATCGCCAGCAATTTCTACACTGTTGTGGTGTAGGGATCACCTTTCGAACTTGTAACCGATGTCCTGCTATATAAACTGAGGATGGGAGTTCTCGGCTGTCAAAAGTTAAACGAGCCACATTGCAAGGGTATCGTCTCCGCCCACGGGCAGGAAGAACGTAAGTGTCTACCTTGAGGATTGGGAGATCTTGGAGTTCCAGCTGTTCTAGAATGTCAGTGCCACATGTCTGGAAATTTCGTTGAACTATGGTATGGGGCAGAATGACGGTACCACTACAAGAATTGAGGGAATGATGTTTTTCAAGAGTGACAGGAACAGTATCAATATGGGAAAGACGAGAGAGCTCATGAGCCTGGGTAGCATTCTGTACGGTAATGATGCGAGTACCGCTCTTAAGAGCATGAAAAGAAATATCTTTACCAACATGGCGTAGGAGTGCCTTGCCAATACTATGGTCAGAAAGATAGGCAGTAGAGGAAGTTGGTCGTAAAGTGAAGAATTTAGTCCACTGTTCAGTCTGAAACTGAGCGTGGAAAGGTAGTGAAGGACGTGTCGATCGTTTCTGAGAAGAACGAGAAGGTGGAGAAGTATCATCAGCAGGTAATTGTCGTTGGCGTTTAGGCGTGGGACCAGAGTTGGTCCGACGTGGAACGGGTCGGCGATTTGAAAATTGCCGCACCGTAGAGGGAGAGGCCGGAAGCATAGTCAGAGGAGAGCGAAGGTCCGATAAATCGAAGAGTCAGTCGAGCCACAGTACCTGAAGCGGGTGAGAAATAGCACCGGCAATAGGTTACAGAGGCATGAGGAATGTCTGAAGAGTGGTCCAAAGACGAGGCGGGGTCAGAACGGGGTGCGGTATCAAGAAGGGGCCCGGGGTTACCAGGTTCATGGACTAGGGCTGCCATGGTTAGGTTACTTCTTTCTTTTTGTTTTTAAGAAAAAAAAAGAAGAAAAGAAAATAAAAATAAAAAAAAAGAAAAAAAAGGGGGGACCGGGGAGGGATAGGTCCTAGGAGGAATGAAAGGGCCAGAAATCTCCCTCCGCTCCCAAGAGGACCTCAGCACCGCAAGTAGCGCAGATGCAGCATGGAACCCGTGCCATACCCTACCCATCATGCTAGTAAACTAACAATCCGGGATAGCAACCTCACATCTGCCGAGCTACCTCGGTGGACAAAAGAGAGGGCGGCCGGATATCCGCCACAAAGCATACCTCCTTCGGCCACCACCCCCGGAATCCGAAAGGTGGCTTCCAGAGATACACTCGTCGCCCGAAGACACCCAAAGCTACCCGGGATACGGAGAGGGATCGGGACATCCCCAGGCGATCCAGATTCCACGGCAAACTACGCCACCGCTAAGAACCTCAACGGAATGGGATGGACCCCGGTACCCTTTCTCCTACCTAGGAACTAGCGTGCCTGTGGGAGAAATCCCAAAGGACAAAAAGAGGAAGGGCAAAAGGGAGGAGTGGGAGGAGGAGGAGGAGGAAAGGAAAAAGGGGAGGATGGGATAGGGGAGGGGAGATTGGGGGGTAATTAGGTTCGGTCTGAGGAAGAAGACCGATAGGTCTAATTCCTCAGACCAAGAGCCTCTTCACCACGCCAAGGAGCCCCCCTTGAAGAGGTCAGTTAATTGTAAACAAAGCAATCTTCTTAATCTTTCAACAAACTGGCCGTATCCCACTGAGGTGGGGTGGCCCAAAAGGAAAAATGAAAGTTTCTCCTTTTAAATTTAGTAATATATACAGGAGAAGAGGTTACTAGCCCCTTGCTCCCGGCATTTTAGTTGCCTCTTGTGACATGCATGGCTTATGGAGGAAGAATTCTGTTCCACTTCTCCCTGGAGATAAGTGGAAATAAACAAGAACATATACACACACCCAGAGGGGTGTGTATATATATGCTTGTACAGTGGTACCTCGAGTTTTGAACAGCTCCCAACTCGAACAATTATGTAAGTGTATTTTTGTAAGTGCTTTTATAAGTGGGGGTCTGAAACGGACTAATTTAATTTACATTATTCCTTATGGGAACAAATTCGTTTGGTAACAGCACTCAAACAACTTTCTGGAACAAATTAAGTTCGTAACTCGAGGTACCACTCTATATGTATGTGTAGTGTGACCTGCAAGATTTCAAGACGTACCTGAAATCTCGCAAGTATATGAGACAGAAAAAAAAGATACCAGCAATCCTACCATCATGTAAAACAATTACAGGCTTCCATTTTACACTCACTTGGCAGGACAGTAGTACATCCCTGGGCAGTTGCTGTCTACCAATCTACTATCTAGGAAACAAAGTAATGTATACTCTTAACTGAATATTATTCAAATTAATACATGTGAAACAGTATAGTTAAGAGATGTGGGATCCTTGAGGGTCAATTCTTGAGTAACAACCCATCCAAACCCTGTGATGTAGTCTCTAGACTGGATTTCATATTAGCTAGCATTATAACACTGCATTGGCCAACTTTTGATAGATCTTTGTAGCACTGTCAGAAGCACTTCTGTTAGTCAGGAAAAATACTGAGTTTGTCAGTGTGGAATCTTGTCTCTTCATATCTTGCAGCTACATTACTGATTCCATTACATTCCACTGTCCTGTACACACACAGCATACATACACCATGATTATTTATTTGATAAGCCCTATGCAAATTCCAAATCCCTTTATACCTAGGTGTCAGCACATCTTTATTTGCTGTGCAAACCATCCACACTGGTATTGATACTTACCGAGAAACGAGCATCCACAATAATAAGTAATACATCAGACATTTCTGTCACTCGCCATAGCTGTCTCCATGTTTCTAGGTTCAGCTCATAGAGACTTAATTCAGCTCCAGCAAAATCCTTGTTCAGCTGTTCACAGAATAATCTGTAATGTCTGTTCTCACTACGATCTAGCTCATGTTTTGTCACATTCTTCTTCCAGGGTGGCCGCTTTGGATAGCTAAGTCCAGGTGGGTAGAACTGATCTGTTGTTGCTTCTAATTCATATTCTGGAATTAAGTCAATTTCAGAATAATGTAGAGCTTTTCGCTTTTCCACCTCTTCAGGCGTCTCTCTTCTAAATTTTAAATTATACCTGCAATTCAAAAACAAATATTATTGGAAAATTATGGGCATCAATCAGATTAATACAAAGAAAAACCTAGAGTGAATTAACAGTACCTAGGAACCCACTTTTAGTTTTATGGCAGGAGCAGAGGAGAATAACTGCTTGTAAAGTAACCCTACTCTTAAAGCGACCTTACTCTTAATGGCATGTTCTCCAGTCCAAGTGTGTCTGAGGGATGAAGTAGCATGCAGCAGAACAAACCATCACTTCATACTTATACGAGATCCTGGTAATGGGCCACAGTTATTAAGTTTCAGAACAAGGTTGGGGATGTATGGCAATGGTCTGATTTCTGTCCACAGCATGTAAATCGGGAAACCGGTTAGCTGGACTTGAGTCTTAGAGGTGAAAAGGGGGGAAGGATGTTGCAGTCTGAAGGGTATTCTGAATTGTAACATCGCTCTACTGACAGACTTACAGAAGATGACAAAGAGCTGCATGCACTTGCTGAACTATGGTACTTTCACGGATTCATAAATATATAATGACTTTTAGGTTTCTCCTTTTTCTAGTAACAAATAGGGCAGTAGTTCATGCACAGTACATTACTGTATATCATATGAATACTTCAGCAAACACTTATAATAACTGTCTTCAAACTTTTATTCACAAACTTTAACTAGTTACTATACATGATGTGTGTACCACATTACTTCCCTACCAAACAAGTGTTTCAAACTGAAAATCATGATTAAAACTGCTTAATCACAGTAAAGCAAGAATGAAGAAAATTTAAAATAGAGATTTCAAAATAACTTTTATACTGTACATGGAGAAGAATAGATACAAAGAATACATTAGCATCAGCAAATTTCTCTTTGTGCGTATAATTTGCATATTTCTTAATCTAAATAAAAAGGCAACTCTTCCAAACACCATTAGTCACTGCTAATTAAAACAGTCTCCATCACAATAATAAGTAGAGTACAGTTAATATAACCTAGTAAAAAATCCAATTTTACTGTATTTCAATCTAAGTAAGATTACTACAGACTAAATCCTATGTTGACATTAAATATCATAGCAATGTGCAAAGCAAATTACATATATCCCACCTGTTCACATTACCCCTGGCTCTGGGCTGTTGATTAATGACTTGGGTATCCTCAAAGTAATTCACATGTTCTTCTGCACTCTCATCTTGTGATAGGGTAACTGAGACAGCCTCAGATGATTCTGATCTGCTCTGGTAATTAGATTGCTGGTGTTCTGGAACTAGATGTATGAAGGAATAAAATTACTTGTCAGCATCAGAATGTATAAATACCTATGTTTAGTTACAGGAGGAAACTATTATTATACTGGTATTCATGAAAAAATCTTGTAGGGAACATTCACCACTGCATGGCAGAGGTGAAAAAGATAATGGAGATAGAGAAGATGAAAGGGATAGGAAGGATACTGTGTGAAAGGATGGAGAGTCACAGCAGTAGAAAATTAGAATCAGTAAAGAATCAAAAGAGAATCTGTAGGATTTTTCTATTCAGATATCTGGAGGTTATTTAGAAGTTTGCCAGTCTAGTATAAGTTTTTCATGATTTTATTTACGTGAAGATCCAATAACTATCTTCTATCTAGAATTACTCTTAAATAATCCCCTCTTGCGTTTTCATTACATGGTATTGTACTGTTAAAAACTTTATGTACATATTTAATTTTTTGTATCTTGTAAAATCTACATTGTCAGTAATAAAAAACTTTTCTTAACCTTAATGGATGGAGTATTTCTAGACATTGTTGTTTATTAAATAATGACTCGTAAATCTTACCTTCCCTATTTTTTATTAATATTTTTCGTTCTCTACGAGCTTTAAGCTGCTCTTTTTTCTTTTTGCCACTAAAAGCTATGCTTCTGTGAGTCTGTGGCATGATGAAACACGGCTTTCACTCCTTATGATCTATTAAAAATTAAAGAAAGTCTGTTAGTTTTCTATGATAGACAAAAGATTATTTGTTTCTGAATGCCAGAAATTATTTGCAAACATCCATACTGCATACAAAAAAAAGATAAAGTAAACCCTTGATATAATGGTCTAATAAGGAAGATTATCTGAGTTTCTGTTTAATAAGAATAATCTTAAAAATTGATGAAAAAACTAAAGTACACTATTTTATGCCTAATAAAGTACTGTGCACACACTTTACAGATACAGTACCCTGAAATAAACATTGAAATTAAACAAGTTAATAGCACAATTTACCTAGAGGATTTTGTCTTATTTCAGAAGTCTGTTATATCAAGCTTCATTAGATCAAGAGTTTACTCTATTAAAATTTCTACTGGCAAAATTGTTATGAAAGACCTGGTTCAAGTACAGCCTTTAGTAATACTGTTTTGCCACCAGTAATGAACAGGTACAGTAATATCTGTACTTTATATATATATATATATATATATATATATATATATAAACTGCATATGTATTGAGAGCTACACTGAATAAGTTAAATGTTTGGTTTGATTACCCCTGGCAATAAACTAAAAACTACAGCTTGGTAATAAAATAGCTGATATCTCCCAATTAGTCCAGGAGGCGCCTAATTAAAAAAATAAATCCTACGGTGGCTAAAGTTCTCGCTTCACATGGCGATGGTCTGGGTTCGATTCCCGGCGAGGGTAGAAACATTGGGCATGTTTTTTTTTTTTACACCGGATGTCTTATGTTCCCCATCAGTAAAATGGGTGCCTGGGTGTTAGTTAACTGGTGTGGGTTGCATCCTGGGACAAAACTGACCTAATTTGCCTAAAAATCTCTGCAAAAGAAGTGGCTTTCTATACAGTAATATGTCACTGATGTCAGCTATGGTCTATATACCTTGTACATGTATACTTGTAGAAATCAAGATACTGTATATTATTATCATTATCTGACCTGCACCAAAAGACCAGTTCCGATTAACTTTCAAGAGAAGACAATCAATAAGGATTGTATCAAAATGGCCACAAAAATTAATATAAACGTATTGTATATATAAATGAGTAAGAAACAAGGGCCCACAGAAAAACTCTGAAGGGTGAGGATGTCACAATTCAGAGTCATCTGACTTGTAATTATTATAATCAAAAAGAAGCACTAAGCCACAAGGGCTATTGACTTGTAATGACCATGTAATGCTGGCAGAACATTAGTGATTTGAATGATGAATGTGTTTCATCTTTCTGGGGTCAATGAGATAACAATAATGATCTCCGACCCCATAGTCTTCTAGCTTAGTAAGAATAAAGTAACTGACATGTCAAGCGACTGTCCCTCACAAGTGTTGTTAATGATATCAAGTCAAATTAGCTGGAATTGGTGGTGATGAGCCAGGATGTGATGATTCAGAAGACTTGCCAGCAGCAACAACCTGGTTTACCAGGTGTAGTGGGTAGTGATCAGCCAGCATGTAATAGCAAGGAAGACTTGCCAGCAGCAACAACCTGGTTTACCTGACAGTCAACAAGCAAGTCTGGCTTCATGGTAGGCTGTCAGGGTTGAAGAATCATCTAGATCTGTCATGGGCAGTGTAACTTTATTTAGATACAGATACATCTAAGTACAATTATCATACATAGTATATTATTATTATTATAATCAAGGGGGAAGCGCTAAACCCGGAGGATTATACAGCGCCTGGGGGGGGGGGATGTGGAAGGCATTCAGGCTTAATTCGGGGAACTGGAGCACAGATCCAATTCCCTAAATCAAGAGCCCCTCACCAACATCAAGGAACCTTCCTTGAGGGGCATACATAGTATAAATTATCTAGGATAAGTCACAAAGTGACTTGTATTTCCATTGAGGTTCTTGTAATTTCCACTGGGGTCCTATAACCGCTAATTTTTAAATAGTAGTTGTGCTAGTCACATCAGTGATCATAGGTGACTCACAAACCTAAGAATATAAAATTAATCTCCTGCTATAACTGACATTTAGCACCGGAAAAAAAAATGTCACATTTGCACAACATAATGCCCACACTAACATATTATTATTATAATCAAGGGGGAAGCGCTAAACCCGTAGGATTATACAGCGCCTGTGGGGGGGGATGGAAGGTATTCAGGGAACTGGAGCACAGATCCAGTTCCCTAGATCAAGAGCCCCTCACCAGCATCAAGGAGCCTCCCATGAGGGGACACACTTTAATAAATTATAACCAAACCCACACAAGGACCGGCTCTCCACTATTACCAAACGTTGATATAACAGTAACAACATCAAAGAAGACACAGCAATACTGTCACGCCTAAAAATATAAAAGCAAGATCAGTTACACCCAATTTTGAAACGTGGTGCTGAAGCAGCTCTTGTTGTGGGTGTTAAGGGCTAACTCATTATTATTATTATTATTATGACGGGGGAGCGCTAAACCTGTGGGGTTATACAGCGCCTGTATCAAATCAAATCAAGTTTTTTCTCTATAAGGATTACAATGCTGAGTTTACAGAATTTGGTTATTGTGTGGTTTACATGTAGTAAAATAATAATTACAGAGTGTACCACTAGAACACCTAGCATGGCTAGGCATTTCGGGCAGACTTAGATTAATTCTTTAATTTAAAATATTACAAATTATGAGGTAAGTTGGTATTATGGCTAAGTGACTAAATACTAGTTTGTGAGTTTAGCAATGTGAATGATTTTGTTTTGGCACAATACATAGTTTCAGTATTGGAGTATCACAGGCCAACTTATGACTAGTTAGGATTCATTATTTTAAGATTAAGATTTATATTTCTGTGTTTATGGTCAAATGGGTGAGTAAGTGTAAGTGTGAACCACCAGGTGGTATTCATGTAATTAGTTGACGGGGTGTATCAGGGAGATAAGATGTTTTCTAATGGTAGTTTTGAAGGTGATGAATGTGTCTGCAGTTCTAGAGTTTTCAGGTAGGGTGTTCCAGATTTTAGGGCCTTTGACATACATTGAATTTTTGTAAAGGTTTAATCGGACACAGGGAATGTCATAGAGATGTTTGTGTCTGGTGTTATGCCTGTGGGTCCTGTCACAACTATCAAGAAAGCGTTTTAGGTCAAGGTTAATATTGGAATTTAAGGTCCTGTAGATGTAGATTGCACAGTAGTAAGTGTGGATGTACTGAACAGGGAGTAAGTTTAGATCTATGAAGAGTGGGGGGGGGGTGTTGCCAGGGATGGGATTTAGTGATTATTCTTACTGCGGCTTTTTGTTGGGTTATTATTGGCTTTAGGTGTGTTGCTGCAGTTGATCCCCAAGCACAAATAGCATAGGTGAGGTATGGATAAATAAGGGAATGGTATAGTGTGAGAAGGGCAGTTTGCGGCATGTGGTATCATATCTTGGAGAGGATCCCAACCGTTTTGGATACTTTTTTGGTTATGTGTTGGATATGGGTGCTGAAATTCAGGTTGTTGTCGAGGTATATATGCCTAGGAATTTGCCCTCATTATGTCTGGCAATTATAGTGTTGTCGATCTTAATGTTAATTTGTGCAACTCCTGCTCTGCTACCAAACATAATATAGTAGGTTTTGTCAGTGTTAAGCGTATTAAGGTCACATACAAACTATACTTTTTTCTACAGTATACAGAATGTACTTTACATGCAATAAAACATTATTAAGCAGTGCATTTCTGGCAGAACATGCATGATTGCAGTGCCTTGGGAAATGCAAGACATTCAGGATTGATTCAAGGAATTGTAGTACTGCTCTAATTCCATGGATCAAGAGCCATTAAGTCACTTTGTCTGACATTTTTTGAGGTTATCCTAGGTAAGTAAGTTTATTTTTTACAGGTACATATAAATCCAGTTACATAAATTACCATATCTAGCAGCATATGTCTAGATTACCTAGGATAACACCCAAAAAAGTTAGACAAAGTGACTTATTTCCATTGAGTCCTTGCTTATTTCCATTGAGTCCTTGCTTATTTCCATTGGGTCCTTGCTTATTTCCATTGGAGTCCTTATTTCCATTGGGTCCTTGCTTATTTCCATTGGGTCCTTGTGTATTTCCATTGGGTCCTTGCTTATTTCCATTGGGTCATTGTTTATTTCCATTGGGTCCTTGCTTATTTCCATTGAGTCGTTGCTTATTTCCATTGGGTCCTTCCATATTTCCATTGGGTCCTTGCTTATTTCCATTGAGACCTTGCTTATTTCCATTGAGTCCTTGCTTATTTCCATTGGGTCCTTGCTTATTTCCATTGAGTCCTTGCTTATTTCCATTGGGTCCTTGCTTATTTCCATTGGGTCCTTGCTTATTTCCATTGGGTTCTTGCTTTTTTTCCATTGGGTCCTTGCTTATTTCCATTGGAGTCCTTATTTCCATTGGGCTTTTGCTTATTTCCATTGGGTCCTTGCTTATTTCCATTGGGTCCTTACTTATTTCCATTGGAGTCCTTATTTCCATTGAGTCCTTGCTTATTTCCATTGGAGTCCTTTTTTCATTGAGTCCTTGCTTATGTTCCCGTTGAGTCCTTGCTTATTTCCATTGGGTCCTTGCTTATTTCCATTGGGTTCTTGCTTTTTTTCCATTGGGTCCTTGCTTATTTCCATTGTAGTCCTTACATTTCCATTGGGCCCTTGCTTATTTCCATTGGGTCCTTGCTTCTTTCCATTGGGTCCTTACTTATTTCCATTGGAGTCCTTATTTCCATTGAGTCCTTGCTTATTTCCATTGGAGTCCTTATTTCCATTGAGTCCTTGCTTATTTCCATTGTGTTCTTGCTTATTTCCATTGTGTTCTTGCTTATTTCCATTGTGTTCTTGCTTATTTCCATTGAGTCCTTGCTTATTTCCATTGAGTCCTTGTTATTTCCATTGGCATCCTTGGCTTATTTCTATTGTGCTATCTTGCTTATTTCCATTGAGTCCTTGCTTATTTCCATTGAGTCCTTGCTTATTTCTTTTGAGTCCTTGCTTATTTCCATTGTGTTCTTGCTTATTTCCATTGAGTCCTTGCTTATTTCCATTGAGTTCTTGCTTATTTCCATTGGGTTCTTGCTTATTTCCATTGGGTTCTTGCTTATATACACTACGTATGATAATTGTTCTTACATGTAGCTGTGCCTGGATAAACTTACACTCACCAGTATCAAGGATCACAATGGAAATGCGTAACTTTGACCATTTTTGGGGGTTATTCTAGGTAATATACACATGTTAAACTATGTGTAATTGTATTTATGTGGAGGTGTGTCTATATAAACTTATTAAGAACCCTACTTGAGACGGTGACCGAATTCCCTTAAAAACCGTAAAATGCCCACAGCAAAATAAAAATAATGTAGGGGTATTTTGGTGCCACAATTAAAGCGAACCAATTAACATATAAAATATACAATACCTACGATATTGTCTTATACTTTTCTTAACGCTAGTCAAAATTTGAAGTTGAAGTCACTTCTGACTTTTTTTTTTTTTTTTTTGGGGGGGGGAGTTATCCTAGGTAATTTATACATACTATGTAATATAATTGTTATCTCCTAAATTTGGGTAATTGTACTTATGTGTAAATGTACCTAAATAAACTTATTAAAGTTCAAGACAGAGGGAGACTTACACACATCGCATTTGACTAACATTGTCTAGATGTCCTGTTATGGTTATTACTACTGACTTCTGAACTGTTAATAATCAACATCCTAAAAAATAATTAATGTAATTATAGAATTATTTGCATCTAATGCTGACTAAAATTTACAAAACAAAAATCGGCAATATAATCTCAATACTTATTTTCCAGATTTTTAATGCTTACCTCTGTGATTGGTCGGCTTTCAGTACCCTGCCTCGTGATTGGCTGGGTTTTTGTAAGCCACATAGTGATTAGCTGAGAAGTTGAAAGCAGGGCTATGATTGGCAGGAGGCGCGAGTGGTGAGTTGGAACCTAGAGGTAAACAAAAGTTAAAACTGGGCGTCTGCTGAGCCTGTGTCGAGGAGGGAAAAAGAAGAGGAAAAAGTGTCATTGTTGGCTGCCTGAGGGTAAGTGGAGAGGATGAATGAGCAGTGTTGGTGACGATAACTTGACGAGTACTACCTGATGGGAAGTGGTGATTTTGGGGATGAGAAATGTGTGAGAATGGGAAGGGACGAGTTAATAGAATGAGAAGGGATGAGTATGAGAGAATGAGAAGGATGAGTGAGAATGAGAAGGATGAGTGTGAGAGAATGAGAAGGATGAGTGAGAGAATGAGAAAGAAGAGTGAGAGAATGAGAAGGAATGATGTTTGAGGGAATGAGCAGGGATGAGTATGAGAAGGATGAGTGTGAGAGAATGAGAAGGATGAGTAGAGAATGAGAAGGGATGACTGAAAGAGAAGGGATGAGTGTGAGAATGAGAAGGGATGAGTGTGAGAATGAGAAGGTATGAGTGAGAATGAGAAGGGATGAGTGACAATGAGAAGGGATGAGTGTGAGAATGAGAAGGGATGAGTGACAATGAGAAGGGATGAGTGTAAGAATGAGAAGGGATGAGTGAAATGAGAAGGGATGAGTGTAGAATGAGAAGGGATGAGTGTGAGAATGAGAAGGGATGAGTGTGAGAATGAGAAGGGATGAGTGTGAGAGAATGAGAAGGGATCAGTGTGAGGGAATGAGAAAGCATGAGTATGAGAGAATGAGAGTGAGAGAGAATGAGAAGGATGAGTGAGAGAATGAGAAGGGATGACTGAAAGAATGAGAGTGAGAGAATGAGAAGGATGAGTGTGAGAATGAGAAGGGATGAGTGAGAATGAGAAGGATGAGTGAGAATGAGAAGGGATGAGTGAGAATGAGAAGGGATGAGTGTGAGAATGAGAAGGGATGAGTGTGAGAATGAGAAGGGATGAGTGTGAGAGAATGAGAAGGGATCAGTGTGAGGAATGAGAAAGATGAGATGAGAGAATGAGAAGGATGAGAGAGAGAATGAGAAGGATGAGTGAGAGAATGAGAAGGGATGAGTGTGAGAATGAGAAGGGATGAGTGTGAGAATGAGAAGGGATGAGTGAGAGAATGAGAAGGGATCGTGTGAGGGAATGAGAAGGCATGAGTATGAGAGAATGAGAAGGATGAGTGAGAGAATGAGAAGGGATGAGTGTGAGAGAATGAGAAGGGATGAGTGTAAGAAATGAGAAGAGATGAGTGTGTGAGAGAACGAGAAGAGATGAGGTGTGAGAGAAGAGAAGAGATGAGTGTGTGAGAGAACGAGAAGGGATGAGTGTGTGAGAGAACGAGAAGGGATGAGTGTGTGAGAGAACGAGAAGGGATGAGTGTGTGAGAGAACGAGAAGGGATGAGTGTGTGAGAGAACGCGAAGGGATGAGTGTGTGA